AAGAAACACGACAGCAAATGTATGAGTGGCGGGTGTAACCAAAAATCAGGATGAACAATTGGACAAAAACATAATTGATGCACCGAATCAATTTTTGCAATACGGCAAGGAATACTATGACAAAGATTTTTATGTTATTAATAAGGGATGATTGTTTTCTGTCTGCCAATACATAATTATCTCGTGAATGTGTGCGTGTGTGTGTGGGTGTTTGTGCATTTGTATGTTCGTGTGCGTGTGTGTAAGAGTGTAAGAGTGTGTTCCAATTCAATATTATTTTACGTCTGTGTCTGTGTCCTCACTTATGTACAAGTGTGTGCGTGCATGTGTGTGTGTGTATGTACGTGTGTATGTGTGTGTGTGTAAATATTTTATGTGTTTTGTGTTTGCACGTAATGAACACGTGTGTAAGTTTGTGTGTGTGTGTGTGTGTGTGTGTGTGTGTGTGTGTGTGTGTGTGTGTGTGTGTGTGTGTGTGTGTGTGTGTGTGTGTGTGAATTGGGTATGGGAATAGGTAGAAGTGATATGGTGAATGTTTAAGGATTTGAAAAGAAAAAGTGTTTAGGCGTGTGCTGTGATAAATGTGTTCGAACTTGTACGGTTGGTAGAAGAAATTGATGACTGGACGATCAAACGAACGAACGAACGAACGAACGAACAATTAAATGAATGAATTAATGAATGGCAGGATGGAGTATTAGTTTCTATGTTTGGAGTGTTTACTCGTGCAAACATATTCATTCATAATACTGGAAAGTGAGATGTGCTCCATTGAATGTTCGACTGTTAGAAAAGCAAAATGATTCATGTTACCGTGAAAAAATATTTTTGTAATTATTTAATCAGGATTTGCTTATTAAAATTTTATGAAAAAATGTACGAGTTAACTCAGTCGATAGAAGTGCCATGTTCCATGTTTCGAGCAGAAACGCTATGGCCTGGTTCGAATACTGTACTCAAAAACTATACACTATGCGCGTATGATGTTAATATGTATGTACGTCGCCAGTTTATAAAACCTATTTCTCTCCAGTAAAACGTTTCCATGCGAAACAGTGGCCGGTCATGATATAATGGAACATATTTGGTGGGAAAATGGCATACTAATTGTTTAAATTAATGAACGCAACATCAGCTCTTCAACACAACAATATGATATAATACTATAATGACGAATAAATTAACTCGCGTAATTAAATACACATGAGTATGCGTATATACTCGCGCACACGAAATGGTTTGTAATAAATCTTTCTTTCAATTAATTTTCACAGCTCAATTAAATGTAAACGTGCATCGGGGATATTGTTTCAATAAGATGTTTGTATATTTATTTCATTCATTTAAAAACTGCCGGATCATCGTTAGCATATGCATTATTTTTCGATTGTTTTTATTCAACCATCTGTCGAATTATCAAATGAATTATTTTTCTCATTCTTGAGCTGAAATTGTTGAAATGAGTGGGCAGGCAGCAGATATCATGGAGCTTGCTGAATGTGAATAGTTAAATCATGTTCATACGGTTCGAAACAAGGAGTAGGTTGAGGTACATCGTGTAATGTGTAGCGTGCGAGCGTGCGAACGTGCGAATCAACTCGAAAATTTCGCAATAGTTCGTTTAATTGAGAATCGATGATTGCAACTACACTGTGAAAATGTGTAGGAGCATAACGTACAAATACGCATCTGGTTTCAAGTTTCAATTCACACGCAAAAAATTGTAAAATGCTGAGTGGATGAATGTAATGATCAATCATGTGAAGCACAAATTTTTAAACGTAGATGTGTTATTATCAATATTGGCAGCGTGTATGTGAGTAGAGAAGATTGTTCCTGTTATAATTAGCAGTTTCTTATTTATCGAAGGATGAACATTTCTCAGCTTATATATATAACCACAGCCCCAACACAACACAGATTTTTATTGAAACATTATCCCAAGTCTTTCCATACACCACTCTCTCTTCTTCTTTTTATTTTCTCTTTAATTTTTTTTATCCAGTTTAATTTCATCGTTCGTTGGTTGTTTACAAAAAATATTATCAAAAGATGTTATGTAAATAAGCTTACATTATGCGATTGATGTAAGCACTCAAGTTATTAAATCCAATCTACGTCTGAAATATCATTTTAATTCCGCTCTCTTTCTCTCCTTCTCATCCTCTATCAGCATTTCATCTTTGAGAAGACGGGAGAAATGTAACCTCCTCAACGAGTTTTTATTTATTTTCATCTTAACAATCCTTAAGCGTCATTCTACGAACGATCGGTGCATGTTAAATGTTATTCAACATTTATTTCAACGACGTAAGTTATGGGCATGGCATCTCAGATGAAAAAAAGAGAATATCACGAAAAGTTGGTTGGAAGTAGAGGTGAACAAGGAAAGGGAATTGTGAGAATCCCATTGTTCCTATGGAAATTGGTAAAACCTAATTTTCTGGAATAGAGAATCACTGCTCGGGAATCGGAAATGATGGACTGGAATGAGAAAAACAATATATCCATGCCAAAATTTGAAAAATTAATTTCAACCAAAATGTCAGTTATCTATGCAATTCCTGAAGTGCCCGTGTGAGTTAACAAAGAAGATAACCACGTGCAAGCATTGGAGTCATAAAGAAATGTCATGTTATATATATATATATATATATATATTATGTTATATATGTTATTATATATATATATATATAACATGAAAGTTTATAATAAACATGACGAAGAATACGACGAAAAAGATGATGGCGTGTGCAAGTTACCGCGAGAACAACCAAACTACGTATTTGTGATAACTTTTGCCTGATAACAAGAATTAACGTCTTTTCAAAGTTTAATCGAATCAATTTTACAGTCGAATTGTTATAATATTCCTTTTGCTTCATCAAAGATGACCAAATTGAACACAAGACAGGATAGCAGGTTAGAGTGCAAGTGACCGAAGGACACCAAAACTTTGCATCTATATCCACGTGACGATATACTGATAGGCAATATACGAAAATACCCAAAATTAATTGATATTATTAAAAAAAGATATTATTACAAAATTCATTTAATAAAAATCTTGAAATATTACAAAATCGTATAAGAACATAACAGATTATCAGCAACATTGTAGCGAGCTTTATTTATTAATCATAAATGTGCTTGTAAAAAAACAAATCAAATACTTAATAAGAAAAGATGAAATTAAATTGGGTGTGAAAAATACACGAATAAGCATAACAGACAGTGGATAGGCACTGAAAATAATGTTAACGTAAATGTTCTTCAAAGAAGTCAAATTTAAAATTAATTCAAATACTTAAAAATATTGGAAACATTTTTACAAGCATAGATTGGAAATTTTAATCAATACAATGTTGCATATATATATATATATATATATATATATATATATATATATATATATATATATATATATATAATATATATATATATATATATTTACAATATTCTATAAATTCTACCGAATGTTTGGCGTTAATATGTTTGTAGTTCGTTTTTTCGATTATTCGACAAGTCTTGAACTACCTTCTTTTTAACTTCTAATTCTCGAGAGAGATGGAGCAGTCGCTGCTCGCGATCTTGTTCGATTGTTAGATTACGTCGGTTGGTCGCAGAACTTCGAGTAAATGTTGGTAATAGACCATAATTTTTACAATATTGGAATTTACAATATATATATATATATATATATATATATATATATATAATTGTTAAAATGTAGTAACCAAAACGTGTAGTAACCAAAACGTACGTAAAACATTGAAACTTCAGCACATTTTAATTCAATCACAAAGAACGGAACATTATCATTACTTACAAACAGTTAAAAAATAACTTAATCATCACAATTGACAAGCAGATTTAAGCAACGAAATTAACGATAACAATAATACCACCAACACATCTATTGCTTTTGGACATGATAATTTTTGGAAAACCAGTGAATAAGTTTCCAGGGAATTGTAACGATGAATGATACAATGGAAAAAATTGCCACATTGGTGTTATGTTCATTTCATTTTGTATCTTCCGGGCTCTGATACTCGTTCACTGAAACAAACCGGTGAACCAGAAACATACTAAATAAGATTAGAAAACATCGAGGTCTGGTTCTACAATTTGTTCCATTGGTAATTAATTAAGAGTTGATGATACTGTGCATTGCGTAGTGAATTGGGAGTTGATGATACTGTGCATGGTGTATTGAATTAGGAGTTGATGATACCGTGCATGGTGTAGTGAATTAGGAGCTGATGATACTGTGCATGGCGGTGAGGCGTGTTTGCCGTTATAAGTTAGAACGTGACTGAGCATGTAGATATAAATTAATTAAATTGACAAATATCAACTGAATATAAAAGGCACTAAAAATGTAAACGAATAAGAAATTAAATTCAAACTTCGTATTAAGATGTGTCATCGAAGGGAGAGCGAATTGAAATAAATTTTATAAAAACACGAAGAATCAACATAACAGATGAGCCGACCAACTACATAATGAGAAAAATTAACATCATCAAAATCTGTGTTATCTTACAAATGACGCTAACTTGATAAGATACAATCGATAATTAACATAATAATGAACAATGAGTGATTGTGATGATTAGTCAATGGTTATTCAAGTGAGCTTGGGAAACATTACATAGAATTCAAATAAAAAATATCGAAAACATATTAAGATTAAAAATGGGTTCATCCCAAACAAAATATTTGAAAATAATAAAAATAAATTAAAATTTGAACATTGTAAACAAAATCGAAATGAAATTTAGCTAAGTAGAAATAATAAATATTAAATTTGTTTAAGCATTAACATTTGATGAATCTATTAGATTCTTAATTTGTCAATAATATTGCATATAATCAAATTCCCTTTAGAACTTTTGACGAACTGTTCATAATATATTCCTAGTTAAGACGTGTATTAATATCTTCATTAGAAGACACAAAGTTCACGATCCTCACTGCATTTTGAGCGAATATTAAAGCAATATAATAAATTACTATCAGTGCGACAATTTAGCAAAGTAACATTTTAATTTTTTATTGATTGGAAATTAGGAAAAATAATCAAAAACTAACAAAACCCCAAAAAATCTACATAAATAGTTCATTGAAATTTTAATATAAGAACCAACTTTCCAATAAAAAACTTTCCAAACAAGAAGTGGAGACAAGAAAGAGGAAAAGAGGGGCATACATGCATACAGGCAAATAATCATGAATCAATCAAATGAAAAGTTTCTCGTAGCATTGATGGCAGTACGGTTTGTCGTTTTCCTCCTTGAACGTGCCCTTGTTCAAGATCTTCTGGCAGTAGGTGCAGACGAAATGGTCGGGGTGGAACTTGCGAAACATGGCAGTGATGCACCTGCCTGTGATTGGTTGATTGCAGTGGGCACAGAGCGATCCTCGTTTCGCATGGAAGTGAGCTTCACAGTATGGAAGTCCTTCGTGCTCAAAAAAACTTGAGGCACCAAATGGTCTTCTGCATTCCTGATTGTGAATTTATATTAAGTTAGCAAAGACGTTGTAATGTTGTGACAGATTGTATTGAGTTAGTATAAGGTGTTGTAATGTTGAGTTAGCATCAAATGACGCGATATTTTGTGATTGTACAATGTCATTTCAACCAAAAGTTTTAAAATAACAATTATTTTCATATTTTGAGACAAGTTTAAGTTGTTGCCATAAAAATTAAAAAAAAAAGAATTGTTCAAAATGGAGCCAATAAATGATGATAAAGTGGGGATTGCACAGTCCTATCTTATTTGAAGACGAACTCGAACTTGAGACCACAAACTCAATAAAATAATTTAATTACCTTTCTTAACTAACAAAATGAATATTTAAATGGACAATATTTTGAATTGAATTAATATTTCGTTAAGAAAATATTAGAAAAAAAAAGATGCTATAAAGCTGAAAGAGTTAATGGTTGTCAACGTGGCTGGAAATAAATTGAACCGGCACTACAAGTTGAAACCAGGCCCTGAGGATTCGACTCAGTTGATGGAGCTAGCAAGGGCAGCTTGCAGTGCACGGCATCATGACAATATCTACCTTTCGATAGTTATACAAACGTAGAAAAAAATTACAAATTAAAAAATCACTAACAAAACAAGCGAAACAGTTTGGATGCCACTGTTGATCGAGTGCTGTGATGAAGTTTTCAACAATTGCCTGACCACACGCGCCACACTTTGGTGCAAAGTGGTTGAAGTAATCTGACCTTTTCATTTATTTATCAATTTAATAAGACGACACACAATAAAATATAACTGAAAATAACAAATCAAAAAAGACAAAGACTATTGGAATGGATTTTTACAAAGCCAGCAAAACAAAAATGCCTCCATAAACTTTGCAACAAACACTGAAATGAATGCATCAACTGTATGAAAAACGAATAAACGTGAACAAACGGGCAGAATATGAGTCCATCTCTCTCGTGAAAGCCCTCATCCCCCAGGGGCTTGCCACACGAGTAACATGTGAAGTGTTCAGGGTGCCAGGTCTGGTCCAGGGCAGTTACACATTTCTTCAGGAGGTGATGGAAAATATATTGTAACACGATATTTTTAAATATTTCAGTCCAATTTTATTTATTAAACTATCGTAATCAGCTTGCTGCTTGGGTTATTAAATCAAAATTAAGTTAATTTAAATCAACAAAAACATTTTATAAACAAGAAACAGCAAAAGCTGCTGTGAAAAGATAATTATGTACGTTGAGGATTGGTTCGTTGCAGTGCGCACATTTAGGCGAGAAGAGGTAGTGGTAGTCCTCTTCGCAGTAGGGCAGGGAATCTCGTTCGAAGAAATTTTTTGTGCCCAACTCCTGTTTGCAATGGGCACACACAAAATGTTCAGGATGCCAGAGTTGGCGTAGCGCCGTTATCACCTGGATGGTCGCATTACACGAAATCATATAACAAATATATTTTATACATGCATACCAGTGATTTGAAGTTATCAAAAGAGATTTCTAAAAAATAACTGCAAACCTGGCCAACAATAAGTTTGGAGCATGCAGCACAGTTGCCATGAGGAGCGGTTTGAATACCTTGCATGGACATGTTCTTGTTCAAATCTTCCATCATAGAGTTCAGGTGGCCAGTGTCAGCAACATCCTCTGCATCTGTCCCCAGTTTCTCATTGCAGTATATCGATGATGACTGGAAATCTGATCCATACCCTGTATCATAATTTGGAGCAAACTGTCCAGCTTTGCTGTAGATTTGATTGCTGTTGTTAATATTGTTGATGTTGGAAGATTTCTTGGTAGGTTTCTGTGGTTCTGGATCATGAATGATGCTACTGTTCATCATGTGTACTTTGTCCTTGGCGGGCATCGCATAACTTGGTTCTTCCTGATGTCATGTAAATATTAACTAAATTTAAACGCATCACAACAATAAAAAAGTTGACAACAATCTGATGACAACATACCAAAGTCTGCATGCCAGAGAGCGAAGCCATCAGCTCATCCAATTCATTTGTTGCTGTTGATGATCTACAGTTGACGATGAAGGTGGTGACAATGATGGTGGTGACGACGATGATGATGATATTACATGAACATGAGGAACAGACAGTATTTTATAAATAATAGGCACTCAAAATACCAAGTACATATAAATAAAATGATTGAATATTAATCTGCTATTAATTTAACAGAAAACCATATAAATGTCTTCAAAGTGCAATTTAAAAAAAAAAGCTGTCATCAATACTTTTAACTCACAGAAGACAACATCTTATTTCTCAATGCAAATAGTGTAGTTATAAAAGTCTCACATTAGAACAGAGGAAGAATACAGCATACGCTCTATTTCATTGAAATGAAATTGAAACTTCTAGCATTCTATCTGTCAACAAGCAGGTCAATGGTCTGACCACTTTACAAAAATTCTACTAAAATCATTAAAAACGTTACTAGCTTACTTTTTATGATTAGGTTCACAGGTGATAGAAGATGTGTTGCACGATGTTGAAGCATTTGATGAATGTCCTATAATTATAATTTATATAATTATAATTTATATAATATAATTAATTTAAAATAATCATCTCCCCTAAAAAATGGAATTCTCAACTGCCAGCATAGTTCTATGACATTCAAATGCAAAATTTTATGTTTAATTTTAATAATTAATTTAAGTTATTGAATTGAAGAATATTTGGGTGCAGACTTTAATTAGATCGGTTATATAATGAATATATACCTCAGAAGCAGTAAGAACATTTAGAACAAAATAAAACAAAAACCTGAACTCCTCTTGTCGACATCTATGTAGAACTGAGCTGAGCAGAGTTCTTGCAACAAGCTGTCCAATTCAAAAAGATTACTGGACAGAGCTGATGCATGTTGTGCAGGCTGTTGGTTTTGCTGCCCTGATAAATTCTTCACTGCATTCAGTTTGCCTTCCTTTTCATCAATATCATGCTGTAGAGATTAATTTTCAGATTTATTAATATTAATATTAACAGATTTAAAATTTCATGTTTTATAAATACAGTTCAGAAACTTTCCATCATATTTCAATCACTTCATCATTTGGAAAAAAATTGGCCCTGATGAATTGAATGAATTGGAAAGAAAGAAGACTAATGTGCACTAAAATGATAAAAACGGTTTCTTACTAAACTAATGAATATCCTCAAAAAATACATTGACAGAAAAATATATTAATCATTATTAACAAATTAATAAAGAACATACATTAATCATTTTTAGAAAATTAACTTATAACATATGCTAACCATAATTAGTATATTAATGTAGGAAAGAAAAAAATCAACTGATGCCAAGATAATGCTTTGCTAAAGAAAAACTGAGTATTTCAGAAGGAAATTATAAAATATTAGGGATTTATGACAGCAAAGGCATGATAGTGGACAGAACAAATGACATTTATTGACAGCGGAATTTACGATGGAGTAAATAAATTATTCATTCAGCTCCACTTATTGGCATGAACAGAAAGTTTTGGAACAGTCATTAATAGTTTAAGTTATGACAAAATAAAAAAAAATAAGTTATATTATTTATTAAAAGTAATATTTGAAACCTGTTTTCTCTGCTGATTAGCATTATTCATGTTGATGTCAGATGGTTGATCTTTGTATGGAGATGTGATGTGTGGCGAGGAGTTGTTGTTGCAGTTGTCATTTGAGTTCGGTGCACTAGATAAGTTCTTGGCGTTGAAACATTTAGAATTTTGAAGATCTGCTAATAGAGCATCTGTAAATTATTATGTTCCAGGTAACAATAAAAGTTAAAACTGTATCCATCAAAAAAATAAAATCTAACTCAACTAATAAATAAATAAAACCAAAGAAGCTACAAACAAGATATTTTAAGAACAGATAAAATGCTTTAATAATTATCTACATCCTATTTGATCACATGTTAATTACTATCTTAGTTTAACTTTGTTGGGTTAGGCAGACAATTATATTTTTAACTGCATAAGAAGCTGTTACTATGACAAATGACAACAACAAGAGAAAATGATGAAACAAAAAATGATAATAATGTCCCATTGCTAGGTGCTTCATTTAGTTTTTCATAGCTTATAGTTTATACATAACTGAAATTGGCTTTATTGTGAATTAAATACAAAATATTTATTTGAGATTAAAAATGAATAATTAACATTTAATTAATAAAAATACACATGTATGTTATAATGTATTACATTTTACATGAAAAAAAACTTGAAGAAAGTAATGTTGGAATTCAAAGTTGATAATTTAAATGAATAAGAAGCTTAAGATCACTGAAGCTACATAAAAATACATATGTGTGAGTATGTGTATATATGTGCATGAGTGTGTTGTATCATCTAAATAGATAACAACATAACCACATAAATAAAATTAGCGGGCTTAGTTGAAATAGTTAATTGTAAAAATGTCAAAATGAAGAGTGTTTTGTCTTGCAGTTATTGCTGTCTGTCTGTTTTAATAATGTTTATTTTACTTCTTCATATCATTTGTGCCTTTAAGTAAGGAGTAACTAACAGTAACTATATAATATAAAATACCAATGCCAATTCATTTTTACTTCTCAAAAAAACAAAAAACGTCTAATTTGTAATATGTTGTTATTATACCATGAAAGTTGAAGTTAAAACAAAAATATTATATAAACTATAAAATTAGTGTATATATATATATATATATATATATATATATATATATATATATATATAATTTTACTTATATAGCTTTTAAGTCCTAATATTAAAAGCAAATACAAAAATATGAAAACTGAAGACAAAAAAGAGGCGAAATTTCAATTTCGTGTGTTTTGTTTCATGTCTCACTTCCTATTTGAATTCAATATTTCAATACAATAGAAATACAAATACACAACCACATCACTTGATCATGACAAACAAGTCAAGCTCAGTGTGCTCAGGAAAGTGAAACCTTGCCAAAAAAAAAGCTATTATAAAATTAAACAAAGTATAACCAAGATCATCCATTTTTTGAAATAAAAAAATGAAAACTATGTCTTATAAAATGAAATTTTCAACAGTTCATCCGAATACAGTTTATGATGTATTAAAACGGGAAATCAGATCGACGACGACAATTAAATCAGATCTAAAGCGGAAAGTTAAATGAGTATCGATCATTCAACATACTATGGAAAGTTATTTATGCTAATAAACTGATGTCCCGTTCTTATCAACAAAATTTATCCATATCTTACATACATTGTTGTTCTAATCCAGTGCTTTTCAAACTTGTTGGTTCTACGGACCGGCAACAAATTTAACAGGAAAGTTGCGGACCGCCACCCAGCTTGTTAATATATATTTTTTTCAATTTATTTTGAGCAATTGTTATCATTGGTTAAAACCTGCTTAAAAACACAAAAAGGTTAACCTGGTACAATGCACAGTCATTATAAAATCATTATTCTTTTTCGTTTTCGTTGACCTGAAATTTATTTTGCAGCAACCATGTGTCATCTAAACCAACTTATGCAAAGATAGACAGTTTGCTTTGAAGGTTTGTAGATGAATGTCAAGTAGTACTTACCTATATTATTTTTTACTAGAATTTCATGTTTAATCATTAATTAATTGAATTATTACTAAAACAATTTTTGGTCTTATTTTTAAAACATTTAAAAATGTTTTCACTGAAATATTATACCTTATATCTCTTATTTTAAATACTGTTATATTATACATTATCATTCTTTTTAAGTCAATTAATCATTCAAAAAATTCAATCAAGGCTTATAGGCAATAAATAATTTTAAGCCGTTTTTTGAACAATATTTTCGAAATCTTTAGGGTGGGAACAAGCAGCTGTATAGTGGGTTGGAAGAAACAAAATAATTTACTTACCTTGAACGTTCTGACTTCTGACTAGATGAAGATTATTGTAGAAAAATTAGATTCCTTCATTATGTTAGTGGTGCGCTAATATCAATTATATTTCTTTCTACATTGCATATTTTATTCCACCGGGCAGCTGAATTTTTGAAAATATTATCACAATAATACAATAGAAAGAATTTTTTTGAAAATACAATTATCTTACAATTGAACCTAGAAACAAACGATCTACTTGGCATATTGTAAAAGGGAAGTAAAAGAGAATAAAGTTTTTTAATATCCATGTTCATAACAGATAAAATGTAAGAAATTTCCGAATATTTGGATTAAAATTTACAGTAGTTGGTTGTTAGACAAATCTCTATTATTATAAAAACGTAAAAATGATAGGGAAATATAAAAAATATCAGACGAATTAAGCATCAACATATATCGTTTACTCAATATAAAAATTAATCGTGTTTGAAAAAATTATACATGTAATTTGTTCATTAGTTGTTGCACAAAAGATGCAAACGTTTATCATATTAAAATATTTTATAAGAAATTTTTAATGTTCTTTTTATGCTGATAAAGCTTAAAAAGAGGTAAGCAATTAGATTGGAATGTTTTTCATTTGACGCTTTATATGCCTGTAAAATTTTAACATTTTGAATTATTTACAGAGTCCGCCAAAATTTTCTTCTTTTTTAAGCTTTTCAATTACATCGGAGCCATGTTTTTCCGTTTCGGTTTTAGAGGAATTTTTTTTGCCAAATATAAGTTTCCAGTCATCTGGATGGCTTTTGTTCATTTTGTCAGAAATTTCTTGTATTTCGTCCTTTGTTTCACCGATTATGACTGATGCTGATTGCTTTTTGTTGATCGTTGACTTGATCCTGGAATTTAAAAACAGATGTATTTTATTATTTGATAATTTCAATGATGTTTTTAATTATTTAAAAAATTTTTAATGAACAATTAAAATGTTCCACCTATAAATTCTGAAAAGAATTTCTCTAGATTTAATGTTTTTGAGCATCCATTCATAACGGTTGCTTAACTGGTCCAACTTTTCAACATTTATTTGATGAGGAGGGATAAACAAAAACAAATATTCAACGTGTGAAATTCTCATTGGAACGTTATAATCCACCCAGCTTGCGAGAACTTCTAAAACATTGTCAGTGTCACATATGATATCTTTGTGCTTCAAAATATTTTCAAGTTGTTCAGGGGAGAGTAGAACAAAATAGGGATGTTTTTTGGTTTGCTCAAAATTTTTTGCTATGAAGTCAGTGCACATTGTTATTGCCTTTTCTAATTTGTTATTATATGCAAGACAGTAATGCAAAATTATATTCTCTTCATTTAAAGAAGTAGTTAAAAAGTCACTGCAGACAACTTTCACAACTTCTAAATCCAATTCATCCGCGCAGAAAACTACATCATCGATAATTCGACAACTTAACTGAATATCAGCCGTGTACAAAAAGTTTAAAACATCAGCAACAATTTCTCTAGAAATTGTACTCAAATTTATGGTTGCTATTCTCTGAGTAGTTTTTTGACAAAAAAGTTTAGAAAGAGAAGGGCTGAACGCTGATATGAGGACTTGATGTGTTAAGATGTCTCCACCTTTCGTTATTATATTCAAATCGCACATGACTTGATGCAACCACATTTTGTACATGTTTTGTAGAATTTTACGAGAGCCATAATTAAAGACAAAATCGTCTTCTGCGACCGTTTTTTGTTGCTGGTAAGTTCTCATCAGCAGTTCTACAGTCGACAGATCATCATTTTTATTCGTAAAATTTTTGTAGAAAGAGTAGCGGCATCTAGATTTATCGTTGTCAAAATGTTTAAAACAAACTTCATCGTTAACGTCTCTCTCGTATATGTTAGTGATAGGGGGGGATAAACCGTTGGGATCCGGATCGGTTCGATTATATCGAAAATTGTTTTCAACGTGAAGGCAATCAGTGTGATTGCAGTTTTTATTCTGACAAGCTGAAAGATTTTTCTTCATGTTTCTTATCTCATCTGATGATATTTCTCTACTATTATGACTTGACATTTTCAAGTTTCAAATAATGTTTCTAAGAAAAAAAGCAAATTTGAAAAAGAATGTTTATTATTTATCTACTGACGCGCAAAAACACTGCATTTTTTGTACAAATTAATTCTTAACATGTGCAAAATCAAATGAATCTAAAGATGAACTAAATTAAAAAAAAACAAATGAAGATTGCAATCAGGAAATTACCAGTGGCGTAAAAATAGCCAGATAACGTGCTGAAACGCTGTTAAATATGAAATTAATCAAACATTAACATATTTTGTGTGAAAATTATCGCCGTATTAAAATTATGCTTATTATATACTGTGTACGTGCGTCGTGTGGTGTGGATAGTGTACATTCCTTGTGGCGCAAAAGTTTAGCAACTTCGCGTTTGACAGAGCTGCATCCAGTTGTTCATCGTTCTCCCTCAACCTTTATCCTTCTCGTTTACAGATTTACGTACTATGGCATACAGTTGTTCTGTGGTTTCAACCTTTATCTTTCTTTTTAGCTATTACTAATCGAAAAGTTCCTGGGCCAACTTCTTAGTAAATGAAAACAACAGCACAACAGCCGAAAATAAAATCAAAGTAGAACATAGAACTCATTCTTATGAAAATATAGTGTTGTGTCTTTGTTTATGATTGTAAAATTATATTATCGACGATTTAGATTCGCTCCGTCCGCTACCTAGCAAATTTCTAACACTCGGCTCACGGAATCGAATATTGGTATTAAATAAGATGCGTTAATTGTATTTAATTTTAAAAATCATATCAGTTAGGACAGTTGTTGTTATAATAATAAATTTATTAATGTGAAAAAATGGATGCTCCCAAACAATGTTTGATTGACAGATGGGTTTTAGAATATGAGGTCTACGAACTCTGGAAAAAGTTTTCTGATAATCTCAGGATTACACAGACGTGGCAAATGATGTACTATTCAAATTTCATGCAGAATGAAAATAAATTAAAAACAGTTTACGAATCTCTTGGTCTAGAAGACCAACAGGATGACACAGAAATTATTAATTTGCTTTTGCTGAAAATTATGACATCCATATCATCTGCATCCAAACTACCAGCAGACAGCAGCAAGGATGTAATAACTCCATTGGAAGAAGCATTAATGCATGTTGATCAGTTATTCGAATGCAAATTAAAGGAAGTCGTCAAAAATGCTCTTTTAAGATTGAGAAAAGCCATAAAACAGGAGAGTGTCATAATTTGTTTAAGATGTCACAAATTAAATTTGGGTAAATCAGTCTATGAAAGAGTTTGGAACAAAAATTCTAGCATCAAAGATTTTAACATTAAAGTGAATATGGAAGCTTTGTTCAAAGATGATATTAATTTGTCATCAGCTTTAAATCAATTCAGTGTTTCTGAGTTGTCTGATAATTGTAAACATTTTTTTTCTAAATATTTCAACACATTTTCTTTGCCCTTTTTAAATAGGGTTGGAGAAAAGTTTGTTGATAGCTATCCTTCCAAATTTGGACTTGTCAACAAAAAGAAAAAACTTTCATCAGAAGTTACAAAGTACAAGCATTTTCTTATTCAGTGCTGGCTTGCAGAGTATATTAGTTACTTAGCTTGGAAAAATGTAGATGAATTGTTAGATGAAAAGTTTGAATGGATGATGAAATTTGTCTCAGAGAACAACGATTTTGAAAGCAAAAATTGTTTGTTGATACGTTTTATGTTCAAATACAATGAAAGAAATAAAAATGATGAGACTATTGCTTCTTTCTCTTCTCCTTCTGAATTGTGTCTTGAACTTCTTGAAAAGATGAACATTTCTTTTCCTGATGCATTTGATGGGTCAGATCAGCTAATTGGTACATTAAAATCCGAACTGAAAAGGTATGCTGTTCTGATCTGGTGCAGTAGAAACATGTATTCTAAAGCAAAAACAGTTTTTGAAAAATTATTTGCTGATTCACCTGATGAACAAGTTCTAACATCAGAACTTAATAATATCCTCAATGGGTCATTAATATTACAAGATTTTTCAGATAAGCAACTTGATCAAGCCTTAAAGAACTACTTGGAAAAAGTTTTTTCTGCTATTTCTCTACCCTATTTGCTGACTATGGCTGAGAATGTGATAAATAAGAGTAAAAGCTTTATGGAAAGTTTAGATCTGACTGTTAAAAAATCAACTGATTCTAATAAAAGACATCGAACGTCCAAAAAACTTCCAAATGATTTTGTGTCCTCAGATTTTCTCGAAGATTTCAGAGGACAAAAAGGAAGAAAATTGCAAGAATTTAAAAAGAATGGAATTTACGAACCATCAGAGGAGGAAGATTTTTATGAATCTTTTCAGAAGACATACTCTCCACAATTTGATTATAAAGAGAAACAAGTTGATAAAATTAAAGTTAGTGATTTAGCGAAAATGAGCGAATCAATAAAAACAAACGAGTCAAAAATAGAAGGTTTAGATGCTGGAACATGGCAGGAAGATGAAGAAGAGTTAATATACCGAGGTTCCATAATGTTTGGAGTCGGAAAATGGGATTCAGTTGCTCAGAGACTTTTGATCGGTCGATCGGGTGATGATGTTAAAAAGAAGTGGACTTCAATGATAAAAACTGGTAAACTTAAAACATTTATTGATCTCTATGGTCCAATACCATGTTTTAAACTGGAAGAAAATTACTGATTTAATAATTATTTTTTTAAATTATATTGTTATAATTATTAGTAATTTGTTGTATTTTTATTTTCTTGTTTAGATATATACCTGTTTAGTACGAAAAATCATTCATTTTTGCCTCAGTTATTAATTCCTTCTGTAAAAGTTGCGTTGCTAACGTTAAGACATGACTTTCAAATGGAAAAAAATTTGCGTTCAAATTATCATAGAATAAAAGAAATCTAGAGAGGCGTTGGCTTTGTTCTAAATACTTTATTTCAATTCTTAAATTAGTTTTTCGACGATTATGTTCTTCTAGTTTTATGATTGACGCTACCAGAGTCAAGTTGAGATCGAAAGGCTTCTGATGGTCTATACCTGTAAAGTGCGCAGCATTGAAATTATACGCTTTTAAAAATAGCCAATCGTGAATTAAACCTAAAAATAAGCGTTTTTCTGTAACGCTTGCAGCGATAGAATAGCTATGTCCGTATATTATAAGCACTTAACATTTCGGTGATTCTATGAAATAAGATCAACGTACAAATCAAATGACAGTCGATCGATCCATTCAGTTGACAATTCGCCGTATTTAGTAGCGGGGGTAGTCAGCACTTGATCGTACTTTCTTTTCGGTTGTTGCACTACGGTTCCAAACTTCAAACGCTGTCGAACGAACACGCATCATGCGTGTGATATCGTGAAATACAGAAGCTTACTTGAAAGCTATGTAAAGAATGGTTCACAAACAACTCTGCGTTTATCTGAACTCAAAAATAAAAGCGAAGATGATTAGTGTGTGAAGCGCTACTTTCGCGATGTTCAACGGCGCTCCTCTGTGGATATTGCAAATATTGCAGTGAATATCTCAAGATGGGTCTTGAGAACCACTCTGAACTTCGTAAGTGATGGAGAAATAGTCAGGGAATGTGGTAAAGTGTTCCAGAGCAAAGGGCCAAAAATAGTAAACGCAGATTTGCCATAAAAGTGTTTAACACGAGTTAAGAAGTTAGAACAAGAAGACGATCGTAAACCTGGGCGTTAGGTTTAATTAATAAATCATTAAAGTACTTAGGAAAGAGACATGCTAGAATCCAAGATAAAGCCTAGACTACGAAACATGTGAAACATCAAGAGTTTTAGGATCAAGTAAGGTAATAGAAGGAATATCAATATAAAGTTTAGACTTGTTAAAACATAGAGTTTTACTTACCAGAGTTTTTCAATGACTCGGTAAATGGGTTTAGAGACCCTTTTAAAAGTTTTTTGATTGAGGTGAATGTAATGACGCTATAGAATTCCATTGAAAGAGCAGAAAAGCAAATTTTAAATGATAACGTAACGTCATGATAAATTGAGAATGTTATGAAATTCGTCGCAAATTTAAAGTCAGGGAAATGCGTTTAAGAAATGCAAAGTGAAACTTTAATATTGGTCCACAATGATTAGAATTCACAATCGGAGACTGTTTTCCATTGACTATAAGATCATTTCAATCGCAACTAGATCTGCATTCTGTGAGCTACAACGTTTATTTAAATTGGTCACAATTTAACATCGTCACTTCGTTTTTTATTTTGTGCATGAATGACTCTCATTCATTTGTTGGTTAGAATCGTTTGAGCAATATAAGACGGCTTAATAGTTAATTTAATGAAGTTTATTAAGGTTTTCAAAAATTTAAGTCGAAGAAAATGTGATTTTCCGCAATAAAATCTGAAAAATTTGCGAACGAAACGTTGATGCAAACGCAAATTTTAATGAAAATGCTTAGTAATAGTTTAAAGATTTAAATATTAATCTAAATACACTGATAATAAGGTTTGTGCTAGCTTCAAACTTCCTGCAACGACATTAAACATAAAACAAACTTTTCATGAAACGAACAATGAATTTTATATCGCATGATCAAAGATCAAATAATAAGTTGATGTGAACAACACCAAATTCAAAAAATTTTTATATTATGGTTCCAAATTACAAAGTCAATCGTTTTCAGTCAAGTTTTCTCACGTCACAAAGTCTTCTCGGCAAATGATTTAAATACAGCCAAAATTTAACTATTTGTGTCGCCCTTTAGAATAATTTTGAAACGCTTCAAAGATATTTTGGTTCGCCGTCTTTAGCTAGCAACATGGATATGTCCGACCCAGATTTCTACTGCTCCTGTGCTCCTGTTTAGTTAGCTCATCGTAGCTGGCTGCTGGATCACTTGCTATTCAGCAAGCAGAAGATCTTCTTTTATTTAACATGCTTCAATTCAATGTTCAATAGTTTCAGTCATGTCACTGCAGATTGGTGTTGTTAAGAAGGGAAAGAGGAAAAGTTGCATGATGTTATTAAGCTTGGGTGTGATAGTTACGATGATGCCTGCCAACATTTGTTCTGTTCATTTTAATAATTTGAATGAAGACAAATAACACAAACAATTTTTATTCTTGGAAAGAGGTTAGCTTATCATTTTAAGCTGTAGTTTTTTTTTAAACTTTGATTTCCGTCAGAATTCATCTTATCTGTTGCAAATTTCTATTTTTCATAATTGTTAAACAGATTCCTACCTAATCATATAAAATATTTCACACACAAAATAATTAATAAAAGTTTTAACAAAAACTCTAATCTGTAACATACATGTATATTAACCATTTTATATAAGAAATAACAAATTAATAAAACATGCTAAAGTTTCAAATGCTTTGATCAAAAAATATTAATTTGGTTAAATGAAATAATATTCTAGGTAAGAAAATAACATGGAGAGGAGATGTGATACATGCTAATGGAAGTTTTGGGATGATTTTTAAGCTTCGAGCGGCACCTCCAGTCATCTGCGTTTATAGAAGATTGTAGAAAATTAATTATGCATCTATTCGACCTCCCAGCTTGATGACATCATTTGCTGACATGACCTACTGACATAGTTATAATGGGTTTTCTCCTGAAAATTTGCTTATAAACTATGCTTGAAACTTTGGATTCAATAAATTTGAATTTTTGTTTTACTTCCGAGTTAAAAGCAATTGATATTATTTTATTAAAATTATGTATAAACAAAAAACACAAAAAAAGCATCTGAAATTATTCATTGCATTAATTATTAATTCACGAAACTCCAGCGTGAATTTGGATTTCGGCCACACTACCGAAAATTTGGTTAATTTTTTGGCCCCACGTTGAATTTATAGATTTTGTTACGCTTCCATTAAAACTTCCCACAACTTTGTTGATATTCAATAGATATAGCACCTCAGATCTGGATTGATTCACTAGTCATGACTTGAAATGGAGATGGTTTATAATGACGGTGTTGGTGATTAGGCATGGGAAGGATGATGATGACATTGGTGATAAAATATTAAGATAAGAAATTACTGATTATCTGATACCCAATATGTTTTCACTTTTTTTAAGGACAGCACCATGCTGATAATGATGATAATACATAAATGAATGAACGAATAGTGAATTAACCAATGAATGAAACGAATGAATGTTAATTGAATGAATAAATAAAATGAATAAATATGTTGTATGGGAGATGGCTAGTGACAAGCCAATTTGAATCTTTATAAACAACAAAAATGTAAAGAACTACGACGATGATGATAGCAACGATGAAGGTAGGGATGACGACAATCAGATATAAATGGTAAAATCTAAACAACTGATATGATAACTACTAAAGAACTGATGTTCCTACTGAAGCTTTGTATTGTATTGCGGCTGCGGTAGAATGAATGGCCTTGTAATAACTATTAAACACTCCAAAAGGTAATATTATTCTAACGAAATTACATAGCATCGTTATACGGTGTAATGTTGCCAGGAGTCTATTACGAATACTATGAACATAGTTCTGGGGTTAGGGGATTGTGTTTGTTGATAAAATTCCAAAACGATCGCCAGTTGAACTAATATATTTTTTCAACGGTGAGCTTTATGACGGTAGATTGAATAAGTGACAATCAACGGCCGCACTCTGGGTGTTTGTCAGTGCGTTTGTTTGTGTCTGTATTCGTGTGTGTTTTTGTATGTTTAAGCATGCTCGTATGTTTAACAGGTCTGTGATGTGTGTTTGTATTGTAATTGTACGTATTTGAATGTATTTTTTTTAAATTGTTTTGCCATCAATAACTTTTGTAATTTCAATTTTTATTTACATCTCCTTTTTTCACTTTTGAGAAAATTTAATTTAAATTTTGTGGCAAACTATCTTACGACTTAACATTTGCTGCACAATTTGTTACAAACTCACAGTCTTGGTATCAACTGAAAAATTGATTTTCTATGGCTGGCCTGCTTCTACGTGATGTTGTTACTGATTCCAACAAAGATTTCAAAATAATTGATGTCATTGTTGATATACTTGCTGATGTCATTGATGTTCATGTAACTGTTGATGCTGTTGTTGATGTAGCTGATGATTTATTGCTGAAGCAGCGTTTGAGGTTATTGTTAATGGCAGGCATTTTTGCTGATGTTTTTTTTTAATAATAGTGTTGATGTTTGTGCTGATGCCGTGTTAATGAACCAACAATTAGGATATTGTTTATTGTTATTGTTTATTGTTAATGTTTATTGATGTTGTTTTTTAATGTCAAATTGTCATATTGCTGTTGTAGAATTGTTGTTGTAGATTGTTATTGTTGGGTATTTGTTGTTGTGGAATTGTGGCTTTGGTATTGTTGTTGTGGAATTGTTGTTGTAAAATTGTTGTTGTTGGGGCATTGTTGTCGCATTCAAATGATAAAATTTGTGATAGAGGAGAATTGTCGGTTGAAACTTGTTGCAGCTTTGATTTATGACTTCAATTTTTTTCCAATGCGGTTATGTTATTGTTGCTACGATATGAAGTATGTCGCATACTCCCGCAGCTTCCATGATTAATAACCTTTTCGCGAAATGTATCAGACGATTAATTATTCTATTTTTTTCATTTGTTTATGAATGATTAAATTATGTTTTTGTTGATACCAAAAATGTTAATAATATATTAATCAATTTAGAACCGAAATTTTGGCAGGTTA